TTTTAGTTTTCTTAATCGTTTTAATGATTATAGAATCTATTTTTATCGATTAATTAAAATCATAATAAAATTTTAGACATATGTCGAAACATGAACGACAACATAATGTTTCCAATTCATCTAATATAACAACTGCATCATCAAATGAATATCCTATTCGAGAAGCTAAACGAGCACGAATTGAAAATATAAATTCATCATCATCCTCATCATCAAATACAAATTGGTCAACAACACTTTATATAGATACTCAAATTAAAGATGAACCATTAAAATTAAATACCGAACAACAAAATGGATTTTCATCATGTTTTTTAACTGATAAATTATTAATGCCTGATAATAAAAAATCTTTTATTCCTCAACAAGAAAAAATCGAGTAAATTTTCAAAATAATTATCATATATAGAAAAAAAAAATGTTCTAATGTTTTTTTTAATAGTGATTTACAAAATTTACGTTCATTACAATCAAATAGTAGTTATTCAACAGAAGAATTAAATTGTATACCATGTACACATCAACATAATCTTATTGCGTTACGTACAAATGTTTGGACATTATTACGAATGTTACTTCCACAACTTTCACTTTATTATCCATCAGTATCAATGATTGATTATGAATCAGATCATTGTATTGATCGTCTTGTAGCTAATTTAATACAAATACCATCATATTATAGATCATATCCACCTGTATAAATTATAGAATTGATTTGTTTTCTGTGTCTGTTTCTTTTTTTTTCTTGCTTCGTAAAAATATACATTATACTAATTTTATTGGGTTATGCTTCACATTTACAGGGGAAGCTTGTAGTATATAATTAATTGAAGATTTTTATATTTTAATATTTGTTAAGAATAAGTATAAGTATAAGTATAAAAATAAGAACCAAAAGAAAACAAAATGTAATACATATTAATTTAATCCATAAATTCATTTTTGATTGCTTTAATTTTTTAACTAAACGAAATTCATCAACACTTTGAGCTATATAATCCGAGCCAGCACTTGTATTTAACCAAATATTATCGGCTAATTCATTTTGTTCTTGAACAGAAAAATATAAAGCCATTGTCATTCCACTAAAATAGAACTAGTTACTTGTAGTTTTTAAGCGAAAACTAAGAGCTTTTTTTATTGTATCTATGTATAAAAAGTAAACCTTTTGGATCTTAGCAGTCGTATGTAGTTTGATTCTGACAGAAAATAATTGAAGCTGGTGAATTTTAGAATTTACTTCTTCTTTTGTCTCTTAGGTTCATATATATAAAGGACGAGGGTGGATAAGACCGTTTTCCTGCTCTTCAAAATATTTCGATTTCTTGTGTTGAAATCAAGCGAGGAACGTCTCCTGCTGATTCGTTTTGCAACAGCTCTCAATCGATTTTTCGATCTACATCCGTACCCCCCCCCCTACAGGGATGACCAAACAGCTTTTCCTCGTCTCCGTAGGAAGAGTACAGGTGTGGGTCGAAAAATCGATTGAGAGTTGTTGCAAAACTAATCATCAGGAGACATTCCTCATTTGATTTCAACCAAAATATTTTGGAGGGCAAGAAAACGGCCTTATCCACCCTCGTCCTTTGTAGTTATTAAAATAGAAATAATGAGGTTATATTTGTATTACTTCATAAGAATCATTTTTCATGAAGTATGAGATTTCCAATCCAAGGATTTTGGTCTCGTACTCATGACTTTGCATTTAAATTCACATAGAATATGTCATGTAAAGCGGATTAACATGAGAATATTTGATGAAAAAACAAAGTATGTTGTCGTACTGAATATTTATAGGATGACTTTGAGTGGGAACTAATGAGTATTTCTTGGATGACAGATTCCGAGTAGAAAATTATTACTTCATTTGTCGAACACGTTCTTTTAATATTCTTAAACTTTCTAAACGTGTTTCAAGATCAACAATTTCTGTTTCTTGTTCAATTAAATTTTGTTCTTGTGATTCAATTGGTATATTATTTTCATCTGTATTAAATAATGATTTGATTTTATCCCTTGTTACTCGTGATATTTGTTGATAAGATTCAACAAATATTTTTGAGTTATCAACAGATTGTTTAAGATCATTTTGATAATCAACTGAATCAGCATTATGTTGTGTTATAATACGTTTAAATGATAATTTTAAACTATTCAATTGATTTTGTACAATACGTATATAAGCTGGTATATAAGAATTTCTTTGTTGATCAATTAATATACTTTTACGAAATTCATCGAATGCTGGTTGAACAAGTTTTTCAAGTGATAGAATACGTTGATGAATTAAAAATGATAATTTATATATTGTATCATTCAGTATTTTTAATTGATGAAAATAATCTTTTTGTCGATTTTCTGAACGTTCATATTTATAACTATCATAAATTTCATGAAAATTTATTGTATCTTTCGATAATTTATGTATATATGACCATGTATCATAGACTTCAGGTAAAAATTCTTTACATTCAATTTCAATATGTGTATCTGTTGATACAATTGAATTATTTGTTGTCATAAATTTTTTAGTATATGGAAAAATAAGTCAGACATTTTCTTACCGATAATCAATGATAGAAAAATCAGAATTAATTACAAAGTTTTCCTCAAAAAAAATGGAAGAAAATTAATTTTCAAATTATAATATCAAACAGAAGAAGATTATTTTGATTTTAACATTAAATTTCCTAGGCGCGTAATTATTTAAAAATACATTTTATTCTCTCAAAAATATATTTGTAATTACACAGATATTTTCTTAAGTATAAAACATTTTTTTTTCTATTTATTTTACAAGTGTTCTCAACAACTATTAAAAATAAAAGATAGTTTATAAAATAAGAAAATATCTCCAACAATCTTTTTAAAAACAACCGACACACCGAGTAGAATAGCAACATCGATTCTCTAAGAAATTTAACTATGTTTTCAATCAAGTAAGATATATTTTCGAAAAATAATTTTATAGGCATTTATTTCTTTAGACAAATAATATTCATATCAATGATTCTTCAGAATCTTTTTTATCAATCATTATCAGCAACCGAAGGTTCATTATCAGCTGACTATGGTCGTATATCAAATATGCCTGATGATTCCATTTTTGTAACAGCTGCTTCAACTCTTACTGATTGTATTCGTCAATGTGTTGATTTTGAACGAGATCTAGATATATATGTATTTGATCAATGTTTTGCTTATAATTATCAAATTGATCAATATACATGTGAACTTATACATTCTGTTAAACAAATGAATTATACAGTTGGTTTTCAAACACGATGGATAACTGGTCTTAAATATTGAACAAAATCAAAAAAATGAAACGTTTGCTTTTCTCTCTTTTCGCTTTTGTAATCAGAAGAATTTTTATTGTGTTAAAATAAAGACTACAGTGTTTGCACAAAACTAATATGGAATGTGGGGAAGAAAAACTGACTATATAGATTCAAGACTACATGATCTAAATAAACGAATCAAGTTGAGAATGTTAATGTTTTCCGGATGATTTTGTAGCATCAGCTGAACCACTTGCTTCACCTTCGTCATAATCAGATTTAAGTTTTGCTAATAATTTATCACATGTTTTTTTAGCATCACCTAATAACATTGATGTATTTGGTTTAAAAAATATTGGATTATCAACAGCTAGAAAAATAAAAATAAAATAGAATAAAAAATTGTTTCTTATTAATTATTCAATTTACCAGCATAACCGACACCAAGTGATCGTTTCATAACAACAACCTTAAAATGTAGAAATAAATATTTTATAAATAATATAAATATACAAAAAAATTCACTTGTTTAGCGAGCCAAACTCGAAGAACAGGCATTCCAGCAATAATACTATTTGGATCTTCTTCAGCAGCTGAATTAACAGTATCATTAGCACCAATAACAAGAACAAGATCAGTGTTTGTAAATTCATGATTAAC